AATGAACTAATGATTTCGTCTACCCCATCACGATAAAAAGTTCATCGCGCAGTCACGATTGTTCGGTAGTGTTTTATTTATTATTTTATTTTTTTACAAATCAGAATGACCTGAAATTGGAGCGTATATTCATAAAAAAAAGGGGAATCTTAAAAAATTATAAAAAAAATATTTTACATGAAAACTATTGACCAAAATACCCCCAAAATGTTTTGGGTGTATTTTGATCAATTTATTTTTACAGATAATTTTTTTTATATTTTTATTAGATGCGCCTCAGTAAGATGTACATACTCTCTAAATTTCAGGCCATTTCGATTTATAAAAAAAATAAATAAAAAATAAAACACTACTGGACAATCGTGACCGCACGATGAAATTTGGACGGTGATAAGGGTAGGCGAAATCACTATTCATTTTTGCCTATGGGTGTTGGAAAGACTTTTCTAGATATATATATATAGATATATGTGTGTGTGTTATCTAAGATCTACTTTAGAATTCTAAGCGATTATTTTAAAAAAAAAAATTTAAATGTTTGATCTAAACAAATATTTTATTCGAAACACACACACACACACATAACACTTAGCAACACTCGAGCAAATTTCTACAATATTTTGCTTATGGCTCATAATTATTCAAAGTTCATCAAATGATCACGATTGTTTGATAGTATTTAAATTTTAATAATTTTTTTACAAATCAGATTCATGTAAAATTTGGATCATGTGTAGATTATCAAAAATAAAATAACAAAAATACCCATGAAATATATATGGGTAATTTAATCATTTTTATTATTTTTTAATATTTTATTTATGTGCTCCTCACTAAGGAGGACACATGCATAAAATTTGAGGTTAATCGGATTTGTAGAAAAATGATTAAAATTCAAACGCTATCTGACAATCATGATCATCTGATGGACTTTGAATGGTATTAAGCTACGAGCGAAATACCATAGAAATTTGCTGAAGTGTTTTTAAATATTTTCCTATATATACGAAAAAGTTTATCTAAGGATGAAGCCCTAAACAGTCAAAATAAGGCACATCTCAATAATTCACTGGAAGAAGTTGTTTTGATGCCCACAAATTCTCAAATTGATTATCGCGACATAGGAAAAAATAGATTTTAAGTCACGGAAATAGGAAAAAATAGATTTTAAGTCACGGAAATATTTCGTTTGCACTGTGCCTGCACCAGAGTGAATAATACTCGGTTCAGAACTACAAGTTATTTCGTGAAAACTAGAGAATCTCGATAATAGGACATGAGCATAAAATGTAAAATAACATACTTCTTTTTTTGTATACAACAAATTTGCAAATCATAGGAGATATTTACCAGAGTTTCCCTTAGCATAAAGTTCCACAGAATTATTTCCCCATTTGGATTTTAATGAATATGTTAGATTTCTCCAAATCCTATAGAAAAAATGGGTGCAAATTTGAAATTTGATATCCCTACTACCTTTGACCAGTAGACCATTTTTCAATGTTTCCATACCACAGTATAAATGCCATTACATAAACAAAAGAACTGGAGAAATGCTAGGTGGTTAAGTCATAGTCGGGATACTAGACTGATGTTGGGTATCAACTAGGCCGGAGTGGCAATGGACCAAAACCCGACCCAAGAACGAAGGGGGCACACCCAATTCAGGTCCAGGTATGGGTCCAAAATTGGAGGCAGCAGGTCAGGCTGGGTACAGGTAAGTTTGAGTCCAAGTTTGATAATAGTTTTTGGGTCCTAATTTATGAAATATATATAAATATAATTAAATACAATGATATTTGAATTTTTTAGTCAAATCCGATCGGGTCTGCTTCAGGTTCCAGGTCCCACACTATATCTTTGAGTCGGTCCTGGGTCTGATGATTTCGGGTCCTGTCGCGTATCATTTTTTCAGGTCCTGGTCGACCCGTTGCCACTCCTAAAACTAGGCACGATTAAAAACAAATTGCTATCAGAATTTCTTGGTGGCAAAGAAGATGGCAGAAATGCATGGATAAGACTGGACTCACACCTTTAATTGCTCTCACAATTCCTTATTGATGCCTTGTACCACAATTGCTTGAAAATACAATTTAGTTTAAACTTTAAAGAGAAGAACGATCCCTTATGTCCATATTTACACCAACCAATACGGAGAGAAGAAAAATAACAAATCCTTTTCTTGCTGCAACAAAATAATCCAACACTTGGTTTCCCCTTAATGCAAAGAGAAGAAGAAACCAGAAATCTTGTTCATGCTGCAACAAAACACAACAAACAGAAGAAGAAACAATGGATCTTTTTCATGCTGCAACAATAGCCAGCAAATAGAGAGGGGAAAAACAAAAAACGCCAAAGATCTTTTTCATGCCGCAACCAAACCCACATCCTTGTTTCCCCCCAAATAGTTTGCCACAATAGAACCCACATCCTCCAATCCAACACCAATGCAAAGAGCCTTCAAAACACCCTCTTCTCCATTGTTGCTTGAGACCCTCACATTGGGCCCATCCTTGCATTTGCCCATGCATTTACACCCAACAACTGAACCCTGGGAGCCCAAACTCCTTTGGAAGGCCTCCATTAGCTCTGCTGCCCCCGACTTCTTGCACTTCCCTCCCATGCAAACTTGTATTCTCTCTCCTTTTTCCTCCATTCTCTCTCCTCCAATTGATTCAACAGCTGCTGTGGGAAGAGGGCTGCCACTACAATGAAGAGGGCTGCCACTACAACATGTCTCTGCAGGTTTATTTCGGATTTGGTTCATCGCAGAAGAGACTGCTGATTTTTCAAGTTGGGCTGGAATTGATAGTTCTTGAACTGGGTAGAGGAGAATTGGTTCAGATTCAGTTAGAGAAAGTGTTGTTTCTTCAACAGGTTCAGATTCAGTTAGAGAAAGTGTTGCTTCTTCAACAGGGGCTTGGGGATCTGGGCTGGGTTTCGTGAGAAGAGAGTTTCTTAAGCGATTCATGGTGACCACCTCACACTCACTGTCACTTGATTCTGAGGAAGAGGACGAAGAGTCCACGGCCTCTCGAGGAGACCTCATCTCTTTCTGAGCTGCTTTCATGGCTTTCCTCCTTTTCTTAATTTCCTTTTGTTCTGCTTTCAGTTGTTGCAGCTGAGTCAGCAAAACATTTGTTGCTTCCTGTAAATAAACAACCACAAACATGAATTAGTCAACAGTGAGAAAGAGTTTCAATAAGCTTAGGTAACAGGGGTTCCACAGAACAGAGCAACATGAAAGGAAACGGGATTGGAATTTTTCTAGCAAGTTAAAACAGAGGAATTACGAGACAGCAAGTTCATAAACCATATTAACTAACTCAGAAAATAAAACAATTTTTTTTTTAAGAAAACAAGTCCAACTCAATTTCTCTATTACATGAGAAAGAAACTCATATAATACAACATATAATTTACAAAAGAAATTGTTCAACTACCAGTGAAACATTGGTCTGTATCAAGAGTTGGCTCCTCGAATCAGTTAATACTTTTAGGGGAGCTTCAAAACCAAACGACCCAAAAACTATATTTTTCCTTTTTTATTGGGTTATTTCCTTCACAAGCTATACAGGCTAAAAATATTGTTAATTCCTTTATTTTGTGATATATACTTGGTATTTTCCTTGTAGACTTGGTCTTTCCCTTTTCTATTCTTTCCTCTTCTTTGGTACTCTCCTTTTTCTTTCTTTTCTCTAATTTGGCAATTTTATTTTCTACTCTTCTCTCGTCTTATTAGCTAGGGTTGAATTGGTAGTCTGTTTTTTGTTTCTCTTTTGACTCCTTCCTTTTCCTCTCCCAATTCTTTGTTGCTGTCCTTTTCAACTCTTTACTCTTATGGTAATTTTATCTTCTACTCCTCTCTTCTGGCTAATATGGAGTTGGTATTTTTCTTTTACTTCTTCCTTTTCCTTTTCCCAAGTTAAAATTGAAAATGTAATTTCTCCCAGATAGATGAAAAAAGAAAAAGGGGCCAAAAAAGTGAAGAGTTGAAAGCAAATATATTCAACCATTCTTAACCAAGTAAGAATATTTTATTGTTTCAAATTGCTTTAACCCAAAAAGAAAAAAAAAAAGGCATCCTTCCTCTCCTAGCTAATATTGAACAGGGGAAGTATAGAAAGCTTTAGGGGGGCCAAAGAAAGGAGTTGAAAGCAAATATATTCAACCATTCTTGACCAAGTAAGAATATTTTCTTGTTTGAAGTTGCTTTTAACAAAAACAAAAGGCATCCTAACTACCTCATGAAATTACTTGAAATTGAAGATACTCGAACAAATACTGAAATTTCATTTGAAACTAGAAGAAAATGAACCATTAAATCAACTAAAAATCATTTATGATCAGATCATCAGAAAAGGCTTACAATACATCGATTCATTCAGCACGCAAAATAACCTAAACATCAATATAGAATTTAGAAACATACTTCAATCGATACATTCCTTCAACAATGAATTCAATCAAAACTGATCCTTGTCCAAATCATTTAGACCGTAAAAATAAAATGATTCAGTGAACAAAGTCTCCTAAAAGTCATCAGAAATTAAGAAATAACAATCAAATTGAGAAGACAAGAAACAATAACCAATAGTACAAAAAAAAAATCAAATACAAAAACTCAAAAAACTTACCGATATCATCTTTCCTTTAACTTCACCAGCCAAATTGCCCTCAATTTCAGCACCATTAAACATCCCAGAAAACGAAAATAAATCCTTTTCCAATCCCTTAAGCAACTTCTTCCTCTTCTTCTCCTCCTTCACGTTGCTCCTACACGTTGCTCCCTCACAATAATACATAACATGACTGGCATCAGAAAATCCTAAACCACCATAACCCTTCGAAAAGGGGTTTTTGCAGAGCCTAGACACCGTCCACTCCTCCTTAACAAGCCTCAGATTGCCGGAAAACCGCTTGGTGGGGACCGAAACTGAAGGGCAATCGAGGGATACCTTGACACGAAAGGGCTTGTGGGGGACCGAAAACCGCTTTTCAGTAAAAGGAAGGCGGGAAATTGGACGGGAAACCGCGCTCGAAGCCTCCATTCTTGAACGCCGATCTCCGAGACCAGAGTTTCCAAGAAGAAGTGAACCATGATTTCAAGATTTGGGAGGACTTAAATAAGGCGCTCTGATGACATGGCGCATTCCGATTGGCGGGGATCCTTGGTGCGATAACGTGGACCAATGGGGTGCCAAGGCGCCTGCCTTCTCGTGGACGTTGGGAGTTGGGCACGTTTAGGCCTTGGCCAAGTTGCTCTGGGCACGTGCTTTAGGCTTTCTTGGACCGTTGGATAGACTTTGCAGAAATGGACGGTTTTGATTATGCCAGATGGAAGCAACATAGGACACGTTTGCGATCGATTGAGTTCGTTGGTTTGTGGCCGTTTTACCAGGTGGAAAGTTGCATGACACGTGGAGACATAGTGACGAAAATACCCTTGCAAATGGTTTTATAAGTATATAGAGGATAATTTTTGAAAGGTGCGGTTTTCTATATACCCTAGGCTCTACCTTAAAATAATGTCGAAAAATGTAGTTTCAACTAGAAATTTTAGTGACACCCTTAAAATATGTTTTTATTTCTATTTATGAAGTTTAAAGCTTCAAAGCTAGTGTAGATCGACAGATCTATCAAAACTTGAAAATTTACAGTCTAAAAATGCTTTAAAAAATATACTATTTTTAAAACTTGAAATCCATTTTTTTTCCTTACGTTCAAGCATCTTGATGTCGAGATGATCAATTTGAGGATATTTGAACATAAAAACAACCTTTTTTAATGAAATTTTTTAGGTAAGTTCAAATTTGATTGATTATAGCCTCCGCTCTTTATAAACTTTTCCCATGTTTGAAAGAGTAATAGAAGGTAATTTTTTAAAAGGTGGTTTCTATAAGGCCTAGGCTTTATGGAAACAAAACAAAGCCTTACCTCAAATCCTTGTCCAATAAGCACTTTTCGAATGGAAATCTCCATGTTGACCCTAAAGTCAATTTATATCTCGGATGATGAAATCCCACACCAAAAAGAAAAAAAAGTATACAAAGAGATCATTTATTTTTAGTACAAGGAGGTCATAACTATTCTTGTCCATCAAATGCTTGCAAGTGTACATGTAAGTAAAACTGAAAGCCCAACGAGAAATTCTTGAACTTCGTCACATATCCCAAACCATCCAATTAGACAACTGATGGCTAGGATTAGTTGTGACTTTCCTGTATTAAAGATAAATGGTCTTATAGTATACAATCCCTTAAAAAAATAATACAAATCCTACAGATCTATGAGCACTTATTTTTAGGATGAAATAGGTGGTCTAGATAGTTTGTTACAATAATCATATTTTTAGAGTTTCAAATCCAATTTGTTTTTCCACAACGATAACATTCAAGCCAAGATGATCGATGTCAAGGTTTTCAAATATTTGAATTGCAATTTTCAATGAATTATAAATTGAGGTTTTAGTTATTTTGATAGGGTTGGAGCCATATCAAATAATTTTCTTTTTTTGAAAGAGTAATTTATGTACAGACAAAAAAAAAGGCTAATTTTGAGTAAAAATTATATAAAAGGTTGGTCAACCCATATTTTTTTATTTTTTTCAAAATGCCCCTCTGTCCAACGGTGCAATCCTCATACTACTTTTTATCTTCTATTTTTTTTATTTTTTTCTTTAGTAGGGTTTAGTTCAGAGCATACCTCGAACCGCTCAGAATTGAGCCCTGGTTCAGCCCAGAGAGCGGTCTAAGATCGCCATCCTTGGACCGTTCTTTGTGTCTTGTTTTATGAAACCAATCTCAAAAACTCTATCTAGATGATCATGGATTTGAAAAAGAAAAAAAAAAAAAAAAAATCATTAAAAATAGTTTATCTTACAACACATTTTGAAATGTCTATTTGAAGTCTCCATAGATATGCTCTATCTCTAATATTTTTAAAACTTCAAATTCCGCTCTCAAAAAAGAAAGTATATTTGCATTGCATCACACTATTTTAGTATTATAAATTTATTTTCCAGTGGGTTTTGATGTGTGGCTTCAGTAAAATGTTAGAGTTGCAGTCCTTACGAAAAGCATACCCATTCTTAAATTCTCTCTCAAAAGTGTAAGAAAAGTAAGACTTATATTTCAAGCCTTTCCTAATATTTCAAACCTCTTATTTTGAAATTCATTAAATATTTTAAAAGGAAGAACATTTATGATTTAATATTTTAAAAAGATTAGAAATAAAAATCTAAATGGTGTTATTTAGTTAAAATGAGATAAAGCAACAGACTTGCATAACTATAAACACAAGAAAATAAATTAGTTTTATATGCACCACCAAACTTCTCACTTTTGTAAGTTTCTTGTGGAGACCACCATTTTTTTTTGTTCAAGTATTCACATCTCTCTCTCTTCTCTCCAATCACTTCTTTTAAATGGGGAAGGTATGATAAGGATCTATCATTGAGACAACTCTCATACTTTTCAGAATTCGAGAAGAAATTTATTTTGGCAAATGAATGGACATCAGATTTCCGGGAATTTAAAATTGAAAGGAGATAGAAACATACAGAGATTTGCAGTCTTAAAATATACTTGAAAGAAATTATGTATTGTGAGATTGTTTATATTTAATACAGAGAGGTCACAGTCACAAGGTCATAATTACTATATGCCGTTAGATGTATAATCCAATGGCTAGGGGTGCATCACGATTTTTGTTTTCACCTTTGAGCCAGGATAAAGACACCCTCAACTGCATGAATTTCATGTTTAATGGCTATTGATGATTGTGATCTTCTTGTTTCAAAACTATATAGTTTCATTATCTATTTTCAGAGGTGTTACTAGTGACTTGGACTCGACCTAATCCAATAAGATCTAGGTTGGGCCAGGACCTAAAACTGAACCCCAAATCTGTTCCAAGTCAACCCATTAGGTCTATTATTCAAGCCCAAAACCGAGTTGGTTTTCGGTTGGCGATCCGACCCAATTGTCACCCCTCTTTATTTTCTCTAATTGAAAATATTTTATAGATAAGGTACGGTCATTTTAGTCATTAGCATGAAAATGACAAGCACCCGAGGTCAAATGGGGCAATTTTACGTTCCCAAAAGATGTGGCATATTCTTGGGAGGGGAATAAACCTTGGAAGAATTTTGCATGAAGACGCATTGTCAAATAAAGAAAGAAAATATTGGTGTAGTGGAGACACTGTTATCTCGACATCAATAATCGTTGAAAGCAATTGCTCCTAATCTCTTAAACTTATTATTTTTTATAATGCATTATCTACATCATTTATTTTAAGTGTTCACAAGTATGTGAGATCTCCACTATTTTTTAATATTAAAATTTCCTAATCAAGGAATTGAATAAATTTTTAGGCCATCATTAGTGTTTTAAGCACCATAACCTTTTTAAGGTGAAAAGTTGCTTTACCTTATCCTAACCGCATCGCTCTCTTCTTCTTCTCTTTTTTAATTTTTAATTTTTTAATTTTTATTTTTATTTTAATATTAAGAGTGTGAATGAATGGTGGGAGACGAAAATCATTCTTCGCGGAAAGGAAGGAATGGACCGTTGGCGGTTAAAGTGGCATAGAGCCGCAAAGTCAAGGTTCCATTCTTGATTCCTACCGCAATTTAAATAAGGGAAAAAGTTTGTACAAGGGTGAGGCTCTAAATAATCGAATTAAGGCGCACAATAAAAATTAACTGGAAGAGGTTTTTTTGATGCTTAAAAATCATCAAATAGTATCATCTCAACCTCAAGATATATAGATATGAGAAAAATATATTTCCAATTTTGGAAATAGTACATCTTGTAATCATTTTCTAGACCGTCAATTTTTAAGATTTTAAATGTTCATAGATCAGCTCGATCCATCACAAAGATTTCTAATATCGAAATTACATCTTTCGACACTATTTGAAAGTTTACCTTACTTTGATTGTTTAGGGCCTCAACCTCATACAAACCACACCCTTAAATAAGATCAAATTAAATGACTGTGCTCCTGCAGAAGCATTGTATATTTACTCCCTCGGGTGGAAACCTTACCTTGGACTATTCGTTGGACCCAAAATTTGGTGCACAAGAGAAATATAATTATTACCCCATGGCCTTAAAAGAAAATAAAACGTTTTTTTTTTTTTTTCACTTGGTTTCTGATGAGCTAAGACTTATCTGCCCTTGCCAAATCACCGGTTCGGTATAAAAATTACCATTGCCAAGCTATTGAGCCCAAGCCCGGCAGATTAGCTGTAAGATTAAACATGGTTCAAATTTTATTTTTATAATAATTACTCTAATATTTGTTTTTCTGAATTTCATACCCTAAAGCTTTATGTTTTGCCCCATCTATTTCAATCGGTTGATCCAATGCGTTCCAAGAGAATTCCATACGAGTGGTATGGGATGTTTTTAGTAAGGAAAAGTTTTATATAAGGCTATATAACCCATAGAAATATGCTTGCAGTAATGTACACAATGTAGATTTGATAGGCTTAATAGATGTGTCATATTTTGATATTGTTTTAAAAGATGCATCAAATCCACACCATCTTCCGAAAATGGACAGTGTAGAATAAATCTTATTTCTAAAAGTAAGATTGCCGTCTCATACAAACCACTGACATTCTTCTGCAGCAAAATTCCAATCTCATGCAAATTTTGTGAATTGCAACCCCGATTGAAAAACGCACTTCCTCAATAGGATAAATGCAAGCAGTGGAGTTGAGGCTCCCCACCCTAACAAACATAATTGAGTTAAACAAAGTGTAAGCCGTTTAGTCAGTTAGACAGTGCCCTGCAAGAGAAGATTTAAGGGCATCGGTTACGAGTTCATAAGCAAAAAAAATCATGGAATGCAAGTAAAAGAGTCTGATACCCAACGTCATAAACACAAAAAATAAGCTTTCAATAGTTCACAAAAATAAGTAATTTTCCTGGGCACATTTTTGTAGTTCATTGAGAAGCAGAAAGACATAAAACAATAATGGACACTCATACAAAGTGAAAATACAGGGACAACAATTTGGGAAATTTATCCACTCCTAAAGTAAATTAGGATGAATGAATACAACTGGAAAGGAGCAAGCATCAAGCAGGACATTGAATATCCACTTACATGGATAACCATAGAACATCTGAACAGAGAACGACTTGTTCTTGTGAAGTTGCCACTGAGATCTATGAACATATTTGCCTCCTTCATGAAGACGAACTCCTCTAACGATTAGCATTGCTCAGATTATAAGGTATCCAACTCTTTAGGCCAGAAAACCTCATTATCAATTGGAACACGCAGTCTATGGTCAATGCATTGCAACATACCTAAATCATCTTAGGGATTTTTGGGCTCCATCGTGATGTGCATGATAGTGATCCTCCCCTCTTCTGGGTCAAAGTCGTATTAGGAATAACCTTCCCAAATGTCACTCAGTAAATGAGCCTCAACTCTTTCCTTTGCTGTATCAAAAAATCATCGATGGCCTCATATTTATGGAGTATATCTAGTGTCATCTTCATAGCTGCTCACAAAGTCTCAAGATAGGCTCCTAAACCTCATCCTATGGAAAGGCAATTTAATAGCACATCTCAGTTGCAAACCATAGAAGTTGAAAGAAAAGAAGATAATACAAGCTAGGATGGGGCATGTATACCTCTGAATCTTCATCATCTTCAGATAAAATTTCATCTTCTGACGTTACATATGAGTCTTCCTGGCCTTCCTTCTCCCAAACAGTTCTCATTTGATCCTGCAAATGATTCGACAGAGCAGACAAATTTTAGTGCGAGGCACTAGTAAGCATTTGCTGGAATATATCATCTAAGCAATTACTTTCGAAGGAAATAAAGTCCTTACAAATTCTGATCGTAGCTTCTCTATTTGCATCTGAAGATCTAATATGTGATGGTTAAGAGCCTGTGATTTTTACGGAACAAATGGATCAGTTATGAAGAAAACAAAAACTGTATTTTCATCTGGAGATCTGAGATATGATAATTAAGAGCCTGTCAGTTTTTCAGAGAACATAACAAAGGGTGCAGTCAAGTAATAAACAGAAAATGAAAAATCTAACTGTTCTAAGCAACTATCTATTCTTGGGCATGCGTGCGTGTGCATACACCAATCATAGATACGCACACATATGCACGTAAACACACATGTACATACATACACGTGTGTGCATGTGCACGGATACAGATATGTAGGTAAAACACATGCCTTTGTGTATGCACATGTCACAAAAGCAGACACTGCATTGATAAACAACTCAATTTCTGCTTTGCGGAATGGTAGGAGATATTGAGTGCAAGCTCTTTGAGAATAACCTCACGCCTCTGAAGCTCGACCGAACGCGCTAAGGCCTTGCGCTTGGTTAGTAGATTTCCAGGCCTCACCATAGAAGGGCGTTGGTAATTCTTTCCTCGATAAAGAATAATTGCATAACCTTTGGTTGTCTTGTCCACAGATATCAATACACCTCCACTTTCAGCCTCAAGTGATATCGCGATGTGTTTGACCTGCAGGAAACGCTTGCCCTTCACCAGTATCTTTATAAGCTCTCTGTACTTCCAGTGCAAGTGCATGTTCTCCACTGTTCCATCAAAAACACCTCTCCTACCTAACCAAGAAGAGAAAGTAAAGCAGTTATTGAGTTGGTTAATATGCAGTTGCATGAACCATACAGAGACAAATAAGCACGAAGAGTTTACCCAAAAGCAAGTATGGCTTCATGCTTAAGCCCATTTTTCGGAAAGTGATTCTCTCTTCATCAGTTATTATTTCTAGATCTGTTGGTAGCTCAGCAGGCTTCAGATCCTCTTGCACTTTCAACAAAGCTCTTTCTGCTTTTGATACCTTTCTCTTGGCCTGTTGATCCACAATATGGCAGGGGAGAGAAACGATAGATTACATAAATTAGTTACTTGAGTAGAAGACAGTTGAGAATTAACATGTTCAAAATATTCTCTACATGGTTAAGTGGTGGATTGTCCACCCACCAATCTTGATTTGGATTGAAAGAATCGGTGATTCGGCAATTTTTAAAAAAAATTTAGAAAAAATTAACATATATAATACATATTGCATATCCGTTTTAACGTTTAAGCTGAAATGTCGCATTGGTTGAATCATGGGATAGGTATTGTGAGGCCACAGGTTTGGATCCTCTCCTTTAATAAGGTTTAAAATTAAAAATTATTTAAGTTTCTTTATTTAAAAAGGGCTTGTCGTGGGGTTCGAACCATGAACCTCATGCGCAACATTTAGATGTACAAACCACCACCTCTCTTTAATGCTTTTAGTAAAAGATGTACATATTGATACACGCACACACACACATAGAGACACAATCACACGATGCACGCAAGCACGCATGCACACACACATATATGTATATGTATATGTATATGTATGCATGTGTGTGTGTGTGTATAACACCGATCCAGCCCAAGAACCAGATCGTTCTTAGATGACTCCCAATTTGGATTCGAAATCTCCGGAACAGCGATTTTTTAAAACTAGTTCAATTCATTAGTATGTTTCTAATGCTGACAAAACTTACTAGAGCAAGCTTCTTCTCGAGATGTTTGATAAGAGCGGCATGCCTAGACAGGGTCATATCTCTTTTCATCTCATCCCTTTCATGGGTACTTGGTTGCATACCCCATCGAGACTTAGCCTCTAAAGTTTCCTCCAGAGTACCAGCAACTAGAGGTCCTCTAGCAGTAGACGTGTTTGAAAGAGTTGAAGCATGAGCTTTCATCCGTGCTTTTTCTTCCTCATCTAGTAGGGATTTTGCCAATTTCTCCCTGTTGACCAATACCTCTTTTACAGAAGGTGACAAGAAATCATTACCCCTGTAAAAAACTATGTACTCCTTGTTTCTGGATACTAGAATGCCCCCTGTTAATTTCTGCAACAATGGACCCTGTTAATTTCTGCAACAATGGACAAGTGAAGCTTAGCCAAGAACAACAGTAGCCAGAAAGAATCAATCTGAAAAAAAGATGTACTAAGATGTACATATTAACAATTATTGGCTTGTAAACCACAAGAAAATCCACCAACTGTCATCAACTCAAGGTTCTCCTTTTTCCTTCTGTGGAACTTTCAAATGCAAGCCTCATAGCTTTTTTTTTTCTTCGTGCCATGAAGGAGACAGATATAAATCAAGTTGTACTCAAGAGAATACAAACAAACAAAGAGGTATACCTCAAGTGAGGGGGAAGTAGAAAATGTGATAGAATTGAGAGAGAGAAGGGCAGAAGAGTAACAGATGGAAGGGTGACTTTAACAAGGGCTAACAACCCCATGTAGACCTTGAAAATGTAATGAGTTAAGCTCCACTCCCTCTTTCACTAGTCAGTTTGCCATGTTGTTAGCCTCGTGATAGGTACATGTAAATGTAATACCAATGGCCTCTAAGATCTCTTTTATATAACAAAGTTCCCCAAACTAGTGAGCGTGACATCTGGTTCGTAAGCGAAGGTCATGTCTGCAACTTAAAAGTATATCTCATGGAAACCAAGCAAACTCATTGATAATAATTTCCTAAATCTTGGAAGCTCAAATCTCCACAATTGGCAAACATAGTTTGCAGTAAATATTATGTCAAGAATGAGCTACAAAGCAAGGTGCTCTTTTTCAGCTTTTAATATAAAAGCAGAACATAATGTTAGAGACAGAATCTGCAGCAACGGTTTTTTTTGGGCAAGTAATCTGCAGCAACTTAGTCACACTATCTGCAGTCTCTAGCGTGAATGTGCAAATGTTATAACCTCACTCTTCAGAGATACTTTCCATTCCTCCCTTTCATCATCAATGCAGCATTCAGTTCTTCAGAAATTTGATTGTACTTATAAATGCAATGAAACTCAAATGGAGTCTATACAGTGCAGAATATCGTACATCGAGTCTTAGAAAACAACCAAAAGTCATCATCATTATCATCATCAGAGCATTTTCCCAATCAAACAACCCAAAGTGTTGCTGATAATTATATGACCACTAAGAGAAACAAGCATATGTAAATCTGATGACTTACTCATGCATTAAACTTACACAATGGCACAATTTTATCCTTGGAAGATATTATTCTATGAAAAGATGCTTACCTCAAGTTCTTCTGCCATTCGCTCATTACATGTATTCTGTACGCCACGTTTGATAGCAATTTTAGCAATGACACTTGTTTCCCAAAGATTCACCATGGCCGCAGCCAAGCCCTGGAGTACCCTATTTCTTCCTATATCAAAGACCAAATTTACAAAACTGGAGCAGAATAAGAGCAGTTGCAGGCATTAAGCATGAATCTCAACTTAAAAGGGATAGGCATAAAATCTCTAATAGAAAAAACTAAGAGGTGTACAAACCTAGGGCAAAATGAGGAGGCATTTGCCTTGCAAGTCTGCGCAAAGCTGTCATGTCCTTGTTTTTTAGACAATGCCTCATCCCATGAGGAAGAAATCTGAATGGAGGTTTATAGCCAGGCAACACAGGGGGTAGCAGATCAGCATCAACAGGCAATGGAGCGCATCCTGACCAATCCCTAAACCGTGGACCCAGACTCTCAAGTATTATTTCAATATCAGTTTCATGAGGGGATTCACACTTGTCATAATTGGTGGGAGAACTAGTGCCAGATGATACTGTAGCTCTAACTAAAGCATTTACTTTTGTGTCACCAATATTATCGGTAGCCGGAATCATATCATGTGGAAGAGTATCATGAATAATATGCAAGTGCTGCCTATATGATTGCACACAAGGAAGTTCATAGCCCATTCCTCTATATAGGACAACAAAACTGCCACACCTCAAAATCACCAGACCACCTGTTTTCCTCTGAACAACAAAAGAGAAAAGATGACGTCAAATTATCCATGATATCCCATGAAGCAAAATTACAGCCACATATATCTTTTAAAAACATCAAATGAGCTACCACATAAAGTAACCAGCGATAATAATCACATTTGTGGTCATCATCATTATTATCAGAGCTTTATCCCAACTGTTTGGGGTCAGCTACTAATCACATGTATGACAACCAACTAAAATTACCAGCTCAGAATCTATCAAGGAAAACAGAGTTATGGCATATGGGCATTAAAAATATAAGGCATTTGGTCAATTGAGTTATCCAGAACTGGGGAAATACCCAACCTTGACAAAAATCCTTAGCTTGTGAAGTAATCTTGAAGCTCAATAAACCGATATTTTGATTTGGGAGTTTATATGTGAAGCATCTTTTTAACAAAACATTATTCTACCTTACAATCCGCCAATGCAAATAGAAAAAGCATGGCCCCCTAACACTCCTATTATTATCTCCCTCAACGCACTATCTTTGGATATCACCATACCTACCACAGATCCCAAATTTATTCAGAATTCACTACTAAAGAAGTCATCATAATTCAATCCTTTTATATTTTTGCTTCCTTTGCCTCCTGGTCTTCATTCTTATTCTTCTTTATCATCCATGAGTTTAATCAGCACTTCCACATACACACAGGTTTTGACGAAAATTAGAGGTCCCAATGCCTCCTTTCACACACCTGCTGCCTCCAAAATCCAACCTGCATCCAACCCAAGCCCAATGCACCTCCACTCTTGACTTCTGTCTGACCAGCATCACATAATAGATTTGCAAGCCATTGTCCCGCATGACTCATTAGACAATTCTGACTTGTCCAAGCATATTGCCCTTGCAAAATGCAGCAGCAACCCAACCCAGATATCCTAAATTAAAGAGAGTTCCAAGAAAAAACCTTTTAGTGGAAAAGGGCCGCAGTCATCCATGTTCAAGTTGGAGAGCTTTAAAAGTTACAACTCACAGTGTCATCATGGATGTCAAATGAAAGTGTGCACATGTATGGCCTCTTGTAGGCTATCATCTCATTCAAGGTCGAACAAAAAAAGAAGCATCAGAATCTATTTTTAAGAAACAGAATATGTCCCCTTGTAGGCTATCATCTCGTTCAAGGTCAAAAAAAAACAGAAGAAGCATCAGAATCTATTTTTAAGAAACAGAATACCTGACTACCTCCTAAAGAGCTCTCCCTGTTTCCACCAAGTCATCTATGAGCACGATGCCTTTCATCCTAACTAACCAATGTTCTCTTGAAGATTTGTTCTGATCCGCTTCTCTTAGGGTCACCTTCGGTTTCCATGCTCACTAATAAAATGACCACCTCACCACCAATGAAGCCCAAAAAAAAAAGAAAAAAAAGGTCATCCAACCCCTCAATCTCAAGTTCTCGACATCCCTAGACTTCCATACATATATCTCATCTCTGTCAACTCTTCAAGCAACCACACCCTTCCTATTCACTACCTTGAAAACACCACAATGCCAAAACTCAGCCGCCCTCTATGAGTACATCCATGACAATCAAGCTCTTAAACGTTTGACTACTGACTGATAGACTGAGGCAAACTCCCTGTCCTCAGCTTCCAGATCTGTGTCATGAGAGACAGTTTGGTAATTTGGTATCAATGATAGTCGTTAGCTTCTCAAAGAAAAAATGCAATAAAATAAATTTGGTATCAATGATAGTGTCAAGATGCTTGACCTAATGGCATTCTTAGATTTTTCTGACTTCTGATTTTACAACTGGTGTCAAAATTTATGTTGAGCTTCTAATGGTAGACCATAGAACCAATGAAGTTAAAATTTCTCTGAAGAATAGAATTACGCATTTGCAACCACTTTTTGAACAATGGTTAGATATCTGGTTTTGAATGATAGACCAACAAAAACTTAGCCATACTGCTCAGATTGCACGCAAGCTGAATCTAGATATCTAAGAAGAATACCATTGGTCACAATGAGGACATACATATAGCTTTCAATCTCCTTTAGAGAAAATTTTTTTGTCAAAGCTTCCATCAGTTACACCCCCACCAAGTCAATAACTCTCAAATAAATCATATGCATGCTCCAAATAACTATAACTCTACCCTCAGAAAGAACTCTAATAGTGCTTTCCAACACTTTCGGAAACCGCCCCTATTGATTTGTCTCTATTGGCTAATACTGGCAACTATAATCAAGACATATCTTGAATCCTCAAGAGTTCATACTTTCCTTTTACCATTTTCCCGGTTTTTGGTTAATCTCGCAAGACAAGGTTGGCTCAACCAAACTGGTGCATTTTATGTTCACTCACTCGAACGCTTAAGATCTGCGATCTAACTCGATAGGTTTGGCCAGCTATGACCTGATTGAGAGTATGACTAGTTCGGATCCATAGTATTTTTAAATTTTTTAAAGGAACAAAAATAAATGTAGAAATGAGAACATAAGGTTTCACTTTTTCATTGAACCTCTCCCCGAAACCCTCTACCAAAAATGCAAGAAAGAAGAAATATTATCTACAAAAGGAGTACAAAGAGGATCTGAAACTGCAGCAATACAAATTGACCATTAAGATTTTTTTCCTTTCTTTTTATGTTTTCTACTAAAATTTTTGTTTCTCTCAAAATAATAGATAACAATCCTCCTTTCTTTTTTTTTTTCAATTTGATGTCAGCAAAGCAAAATACAATAGATTTTTGTCAAATCCGAAACACAAATTGATCAAGTAAAATTTTCTTTTCCCTTTTTATTTCTATGTTAAATTCTTATTTTTCCCTCAAAAGCATGGATGAAAATACTCTCTCTTTCTCCTCTCTCTCTCTCT